CCTGGGGTGAATGTGCAGTTTGAGGCGATCTGCCTGCTACAAGATTTTTCTTTATCAAAATCACATGTATATGTAAAAGCATGAGACCTTGCACGCGACATTTGTCCTCTCGACGATTTTGTTTAAATTCCTTAAGAACTCCCGATGGTTTCAATGTTATCTGGATTCCGAATTTAAGTTCCAGCCTGTGACACGAACGGAATTTAACAAGTTGCCTGAGAATATTCAGAGCAAAAAAAAAGGTTACCAGGACTGATTCGCTTAGAACGTTATAGTAGAGATGCGAGAAGAAAGAATAGACATACAGCAACAAACAACTTACGCTATTTTGACGTCCTCATCCATCGGAATCTGGTAACGTATATAAAGATACATCATCACATGGCAAGGTAAGTTAGCATCGTAAAGCTGATTCATCATGTTTCTACGAAACCTGCAAATTGTGCATCAGTCGTAAAAGATGTTTATAGTACGAACATCATCTATACTCCACCTAGTGTTAAGACTGTCGGCGCTTCTTCCTACGTTTTCTGAGGCGTACAACTTCCAAATCTTCAATCCTCTGGGTTCCATTGCCGCAGGTTCTCCTTTGCGCAGCTGGCTATAGAAAAAATAAACAGATTTTAGGAGCTCTTAAAATTGATAAAAAGTATTATAAGCTCCGATTTTTCATGTTCGATTTTTAAGAAAGAATACTGATAGTTACAAACAAAAATGAAACTCACTCATATAAAAACATCCACATTCGCGTCTCGTCAGCACGCGAGTACAATTGTCGCTCTTTCGGCATAGTCCAAGAAATGGTGGCAAAGGCAGGAGTAACTGCGAAAATTAAACAATTGGAAAGGCTCCTGTTTGAGAAGGTAGAGTTTTGCGTGAACAAAGCGTATACTCCGCAAGATTGCCGTGTTCCCCCGAATCGAAAAGAGGTAAAAGAGGCAGTCATTATAGTCAATTCCTAACAAAAAGATAACAAAAATGCTTGCAGACAAAGGGACGGCGCGCCGACAGCGAGAAATTCGAAAATCAACAATTTGAAGGGTAGCACTGAGTTTCTTAGAGTAATTTTTCATATTTCTTTTCTTTTTTAGGCAGAAAGTACCAGCCGACTATTCAACAAGTTGGTATGGTAAGCGGGAAAAACCAATACGAGTGAATGGGCCATCCATTCTACTTACCATAAAGGTAGGCAATCAGAAACCTGCATGAG